TGGAATAAATCCCTGCTTTATTCCTTCAGCACTGCCCAGCCTCTGCTCCAGGAAACTCTCCAGGCAGCAGAGAGGGCACCAGGCTGGCAGAAGGGCAGGACTGGCCAACATTCCATACCTGAAGGATGACCCAGTGACCCTCCTTTGCAGCCAGATCCAGAGCTTGCTCTGCCACCACCTCCTGGCCTTGTCCAAGAGAAATGTTGTGGAGGTTCCTGTGGTTGAAGGTGTAGCCCAGCTTCTTCCCTGGCAGGAAACAAGGAGTGAGGTCAGTACCCTGGCAGGGAGGCAGGGCTGGGGGCCCAGCAGAGCCAGGCAGAGCTCCCTTGTACCAACCCCTCACACATGAGCTGTCACACTTCTCATATCAGTTCTCTTCTCTCATTCTTTTGGCTTTCACCCACTCCTTGCCCAAGTGCTTAAATAGCAGCAGCTTCTCCCAAACTCTTTTAATTACAGTGCAGCGTTCACACAAAGGTACCTTATTACGAAGTGCTTCTTGTTTAAAGAACATTATTCCCCTGCAACCTGGTGTAAAAACGCATTTTACAGTGATAAGAAATGAAAATCATTTCCTGCTGATTAGCCAGGCTTTGAACACCCACAGTGGGTGGGGAAAAGCCCCTGCAGTGCAGGCTGGGTGCAGCAGCTTGGTTTGGAGGGGGCAGCTGGAATGAAATCCCTGTGAGTTTTCTCCCAGGGAAGCTCACACCCTGTGACCCCTCCAGGTTTCTCATGGAGCATCGGTGGAGTTGCCTTCCTGTGGGAAGGCCCCCATGGAGTCAGCAAAGCCCAGGGGAAGGGCTGGTTTGGGAGCCACCCTGACAAATCCCAGTGTCCCTCCAGGGCAGGCTCACTGAGATCTCTCTGCAGTGCTGGGAAATGGAAATTACAACTGATTTTTATTTATTATTCATCAGCTGCCTTGGGTAGTGCCCTGGCTCTGTGATTTGCCCCATCCCCTCTCGAGGTGGATCTTGAAGGCAGGTGCAGGGCACCTCAAGCCCCTGTGATTCCCTGCCTGCTCTGGAGGGAGGATGGCAGCTCTTTGTGTCCCTTCACATGGTCTGGGATGATCCTTCAGCCTCCTCTGGTCTCTCTGGAGCATCCCAGTGGCTCAGATAATTCTGTGCTCATGGCTGCAGATCTCCTGGTCAGGTTTGGGATCTGTCACCCCCAGGCAGAGCACACCTGCTGCTGCTCCTCTCACAGCAGAACCAGCTCTCCCTGCTGTGTGCACCTCCGAAAAAAAACAAAACAAAACAGCTTGTGCTGCCAGAGGGAACAGCCCCACAAACATCCCCAGGAAGGATTGGGCTCAGCCAGGGAATCAGGACTCATCCCCACATGCTGATCCCTGGGGATTGCCCACACTTATCTCTGCATGCAGGTTTGCCTTCCTGCAGATGGTGCATCCTGAATTCCCAATTCCTGCTAAAAGCAGGCAAGTTTTAGAGTGAAACAAAGAAAAGATTTGTCTTGCAAGGCTTAGGAACCATCTCGTGGTACAAGACTGGAAACAGATGGCCTTAAGAGGAACAAACCTCCCAATTCCAGCTCTGTGCTGAGCCTCACCACAGCCTCCCCTGGGATACAGCTCCCCACACATTTCAGAGTTTCCAGTTCTCTTTCTCACCATCTCTGGCTGCTGCCAGCTTTAAAAGCTGCTGATCTCCTCTGCCTTCAAGATCCACCTCGAGAGGGGATGGGGCAAATCCCAGAGCCAGGGCACTACCCCAAGGCAGGAGAGGAGTAATAAATGATATCAGTTGTTATTTCCACTGCAGGGAGTGTCAGTGAGCCTGCCCTGGCAATGCCAACCCTGCTCCCTCCTTGCTGGCTGCAGAAGGGAGGGGATGGGACTCAGGGAGGGCACAAAGCTCTTCCAGCCCAGCAGTGTTTGCTGCAGGGCCCTCCCTGTGACGCCAAGGAAAGGTCCCATGGGTGGGCAGCATCTGCAAGAAGCTGACTCCCATTCACAGAGATTATCCTGCACTTTAATAAAACCTAATGATGGACAGAGAAAATATCAATAACGAGCCAAGCCCAGCCCCAGAGAGGCAGCTGGGAGGCCAGTGCAGCTGCTCTGTGGCAATTATTTTATTTCATTACTTCCCTTTTTGCTTTTTCTCGCTGTAACTTTTCTGGCTGGCTAACCCCAGGTGCTCAGCTATGCTCATCTTTACAATTCCAATTAAACCACTCATGGTTTGATTTTAATGCTTCATTTCCCATACAAGAAAATAACAGAGAAAGACATGATCACCAACGTGGCTCCAAAGGGAAGGCAGGGACACTGAAGGAGCTTCCTTTGGGGGTGTCCCTTCAATTTCCAGTAATGACACCTGGTTTGGGGGCAGAGGGAGCCTGAAGTGCAAAGCTAAGCCCAAGAATTCCCCACAATGAGCTGCCTGTGGCTGAGGCTGCACAAAGTTTAACAGCTCTGACAGCTGCTCCTGGCAGTGTTGGTAAAGGCTCACTCAAACATTATTTTGGGTGCATTGTGGAGAGGAGAAGAATGCAAAAGTCATTGCTCTCCTGCCCTGCTCTGTGCCAGCTTGGGTGATGTTTTGTCCTGTCCAACCCCAAAGGCATCAGACTTCTCTGCTACAGAAGGACATTCAGGCTCCAAATGGGAATTTTTCCACAGTGGAGCCAAGACCCAGAGTAAATTCTACACAAGGGCAGTTTTGGAGCACAGCAGTGGCTGCAGCCATTGGTGCACAAGGACATCGGTGCCTTCTGAAGGGAGGCAGCTCCCAGAAGCCCTTTGGCTTTGGAGCCAGCTGACAGCTCCAGAGCTGACCATCCACGTGGAAATCAGCTCAGGAAGGATGGGAAGGAAACCTGGAAACTTTGCCATAAAGCAGCAATCTGTTACAGGGAGCTGTTGCTTATTTTTAGTTACCATAAGATCATAGAAGAGCAGGCTGGAAGGGACCTCAAGGGTCCTCTGGTTCAACCTTTCTTGGCAACAAGCATCTGACAGCATGTGAGATATCTCTGATGGAAATTATGGGTTGTGCTCAAACCCAGCTCGGAGATTGTTGCAGTGTGAACCACACTAGGAATCCAGGCAGTGCAGGAAAGAGACAAGTTTAATTTAAACTTAAGTTGAAAATCCAAAAACTTTAAGAAAAACAATAAAACCAAACCAAAATCCCATTGCATCCTCTTGCAATTATCTATTTTTAACGTATTACTTCATTATCTACAAAGAGATGAGGAAAAAAATAAAACAACAAAACAGGCATGTCGTGCTAAGATAATAATGCAGCAGATAAATAGCAGTGCTGTGGTGTGCCTAGAGACAGGATTTATTTACCATGTTTCTCCACATCCTTCAGTGGGTCCACTCCTGGGGACAGGATAAAAAACATCGGGGTTGCAGGCCCTGATTCCTCAAAGGTCGTTGCAAAATCCAGGGATCTCCCCACCACATATTTGCTGCCCAGCTTTTCTTCTACAAAATCTCTGCCAGAGAGAAAAAACTTTTGCCAGTTTGCTCAGAAAATGCAGATTCCCCTGCAAATAATCAATGAATTATGATGGAATCCCAGAATTGTTAAGGATTGAGAAGACTCTCAAGGTTATCAAGTGTGACCATTATCAAGCAGTAACATGTTCCATTTAGCCATGTCCTCAAGTGTCCCATCCACTGGACTTTTGAGCACTTCCAGGGATGGTGCCAGGGTTTGATGACCCTTCAGCTTCCCTAATATTCAGTCCAAACCTCTCCTGGCCCAGCCTGAGGCCGTTCCCTCTCCTCCTGTCCCTGTTCCCTGGAGCACAGCCCGACCCCCCCGGCTGTCCCCTCCTGTCAGGGACTTGTGCAGAGCCACAAGTTCCCCCTGAGCCTCCTTTTCTCCAGGCTGAGCCCCTTCCCAGCTCCCTCAGCCTCTCCTCATATGACTTGCCCTGCAATTAGTTTTCATTTTGATGATTCAAATGATTTAGAAACTGAAATTAGGGAAATGAGCATGAAATAGTCGTGGAGAGGAGCTGCATGCTGGGCTTGCAGGGCTGTCCCTCAGGAGCAATGCCTGGCACTCTGCACAGGGGTGGGATGCCACAGGAGACTCCAGTTCCTGCCAAACAAAGGGAAGCAGGAAGGGAGAGCAGTGGGAGCTGCCAGCCCAAGGCTGCTTTCAGAAGTACAATCCAAGCACTGGCTTGATTCTGACTCAGGAATCTCAGGAGAACAGAAATAGGTTGAGGCACAAGATACAAGAACCTGCCATGTGTTCTGCAACCCCAGCAGCCTTGCAGAGGAAGCAGCAATCCACAGAAAGTCCAGATGATTTCCACAAGTGCTTTGATCTGGAAAGCTGAAAGGGAAGAGCTCTAACAATGTCTGGAGCGTGGAGCCTTAGCATGAGAGTGACAAGGAAAAATACAAAGGAGTGAACAGGGACAGGCTCAGCTCCACAGCAGCTGCTGGAACTGAGCACGGTGCGTGGAGAATGTTCTGGCTGGATTCCCCCAGGGTGAGCTCCTGACATCAGTGCTTTACAAAAAGAGACACACTGAACACTGATTCAAAGGTAGGAATGTTATATTCAAACCCCAGGAATGCTCCTGGAGCTCAGATGGATTACTCAGGCCTTTTGAAGGCAGCCAAATTCTTTCCAAGAGAGCTGAGAACCTCCTTCAAGGACTGGTGAAAGGCAGTTGGAATAGTAATGCCTAAGAGATTGCAAAAAAGTAAACCACACAAAAAAATAAATAACAAAACCCCCCAACAAATAAATAACAAAACAAATCAAAAACAAAACAAAACAAAAAACCCAAAAAACCCCCAAAAAAAACCAAATAACAAACAAACAAACAAAAAACCCCCAACAACAACAACAAAACCCCACAAAAAAAAACCAAAAAACACACACACACACACACAGAAAAAAAAAAAAAAAGGAAAGGAAAAAAACCTTCTGCAATTTTGGTACCTCTGTTTTTCAAGCCGATTTTCCTGTTCAGGATCAAGATTTGCTAAATTGCTGCTGGAAAGGCTCAGGTCACAAAATTTAACCAAGTCCATCAAATTCAAGGTCACAACACTCATGTTTTACTTCACATCTCAGCTCTTTGAAACAGTTCCTTGGGGACTCAGAAGCACAAGGTGCTACAAGAGGCTTTTTGCTGATGTTCTTCACCAAGATTGAAGGATGAAGTGGATATTTACAGGGGAAAACCCTTCCAGAGGAAATTACAGTTTCTGGTGCACTGCTGGCCCTGAAGCTCTAAGGAGTGGGTCAGGGTAAGAGGGGCTTCTCCTGATGACTCCTTAGACCTTGGGAATGAACCAGACTGGGGTCTGCTGGAAGAGTGGCTGGAACACCCAAATTCCCAGGGCCTGTACAGGACTGGATCATCTTAAATCCCAAAGAAATCCGAGACCATGATCATGGAGCTGGTGCACATGAGCTGGGACACAAAGGGCCTCACAGCTTTCTGACCAGCAGCTGGAAATGAGGTTGGGATATTCCAGGGCATCTAAAATCCCCCTGGCCACCTGTGGCTGGCCTACAATATTCCTCCTAAAATGCTCCCATGGACTGGTCAGGAACCCCAGAGAGATGGGAAGGTTTGGGCTGGACATGATGTCCATGATCACCAGTGAGGTGTTGAATGCTGAGATATTGATAACTCAGTTGTATTTCAAGAAGAGTCCCCCAAGTTCTGGGGAAGGCTCAGTGAACTGTTCCTGTTGGCACTTTGAGATAAGCAACAAAATAAAGCAACATAAAAACCCATTTAAATATTCCTGTGCAAACAGAAAAACTTGATATGCACACATCCTAAAAATATCCAGCCAAGCTTTTGAACTTGGATTCCCTTTTCACAAAAGAGAGACAGGAAAGGGGCTCAAATTTGTTGTTGCAGTTATTTTGGAGCTATGTGAGTAAGGAAAAAATGAATTAGAGTTGCATAAATGAAATATGCACCTAAGATTTCAAGAGCTTATTTTACTCAATATATAAAATACAAAAACTCTTACTCAAGCTAAACAACAGAAAAAACCAATACTTTGAGCTGAGAGACACATGGAGAATCCAGCCACAGGAGTAAAAAAGAAAAAGATATAGATTAGCATTAGTACTATGATAAATATAGTATTTATTCTAATAAAAAATAGTAATAGTGAACATGGGGAGACTTCACTCAGCCTTGTCTAAGTTTTTCTGTGAACCTTGAAGCACAAACAGATGCAGCTCATACACGGAATAGAACACCCTGCTGTGTGCAGGAATAGAAGCTACTGGAGGAACAGGAGCACGAGAAACATCACAGAAATGTCAAAATATTGGCCAGAGAAGGAAAAACCAAGTCCTCATGGAGTGAAAGACCTTTAGTTTGTCCTGGAACAAGGAGGTTGCTTTTGTATAACTTCAGGAAGTTTAGCCTCGCCCAGTTACCTTCACTACATAATTTACTGCTACAACTTTCAGAACCAGCAGCACATTAATTTTGCATTTTACAAGACGAAGAAAAAAAAAAAAAAGAGAGAGAGAAAACCTCTATAAGACTTTCCTTTACTTCTAGTCTTTATTCTGGTGTCTAAGAAGAAGCCCAAAGGGATCCAGTAACTCAAATGGATGTTACTGATCTCAGATCCCTGCAGCAGATGTGTAACACCTGCATGGTGATGCTCATTTCTGACTTGCAGGTCTGGCCCTCACCCAGGGCTGGTTACCCTGCTCCATCCCTGATGGTGACAGTGAGCTTTGATCCCACTAAGCAAGAAATTCCCCTTAAATCCAATGTGTTGATTGCTTTGCAGAGTTCAGAGATCAGTGAAGAACACAGAAGTTTGGCTGGGAGGGACCTTAAAGATCATCCCACTCCACCCCTGCCATGGCAGGGACACCTCCCACTGTCCCAGGCTGCTCCAAGCCCCAGTGTCCAACCTGGCCTTGGGCACTGCCAGGGATCCAGGGGCAGCCACAGCTGCTCTGGGCACCCTGTGCCAGGGCCTCACCCTTCATTCCAGACCCCTTGATAGGAAACCAGGCTGCAGAACTGCCACCCTAAGAATGTACTGCCATTCCCAAATGCCAGCCCATTGCTGGGTCCCTCCTGCTGCCCCCCAGCCCAGCCCAGGCCAGCCCAGCCCAGAGCTGCCCTGGCCTCACCTGACGGCGCAGGGGACACGGTCTGGCCGCAGGGCTCTCAGGATGCACAGGCGCTGCAGGGCTGACTTGTTCTTCCAGTCCTGCGGGAACCTCTCCTTCTCGGGACACTCCGACTCCACAAACTTCTTCCACCGTTTGGCAGACCCTTCAATATCCCGATCCAGGTTTCTGAATTCCTCCATGCAAGAGAGAGCCTGGAAAAATTCAAGGAAGGTCAGGAAGAACAATCCTATGTGCCTCTGAACTGCTTTTCTAACTCTACTGACTCCTCATGTTTTGCTCCACCAGGGAGCTGGAGTCTGGCAACCACAGCCAGAAATCCATCAGGACCAGATTTTGTCCGTTCTCCTTGGAAGGGACAGTCCAGGGAAGGATGAAAGATTTTGGCATCAACCAGCACACCCTGTTCATTACCCAAAAAGGGAAGAATTCTCCTCTCCTGGTTGAAAAAAATCTCAATGACAAGGACTTGCTGCTGTCAGTTATCCCTGAAATGACTGCTTTAGATGAGAGCTGGAAATCTGGAGCCCATGTCTGATAGGACAGTATACATTGCTGGCATTCCCATGAGCTGCATGGTCTCCTTACAGATTCCACAGAAATGAGAATTGTGCAAAAAAAACCCACAACAGCTGCTGAAAAAACCATGCTGAATAAACATTCAGACATACCATGCTCACCAAAATGTTTTTTAAGGGTTTCACAGTTGGAATGTTAATTCCAACAGAAACACAGAATGGTTTGGGTTGGAAGGGACCTTGTTCCAACCCCCTTACCATGGGTTGGGTCATGCACACACCGTTGCTTTTCTGTCCCTGTTCCCCATTCACATCCCTGTGAGACACTACAACAACTGAGCCTTCTCCCATTTCATGGTGACCACAGAGCCAGCAACCTCCACATGCACAGGGCAAATGTAAAAATATGGTGCTGTTTCTGTTCAAGCATTCAGCCCATCCAGAATCGTGATAAAATTCAAATCATTTGGTTTCTACTTGCCAAATGCACATGAAGATGAACTTCTTGGTGTTACAGGTCTGTAGCAGGAACAGGCAGCTGAAGAATGCCCCCAAAAAAGCAGCCCAGCAAGGCATTAAATGAATTAAAATTACAATGAAAATGTAGTTGGATTTTGTAGGTAGAAAGTGGCAACTATAAATGTTATGCAGATAAGTGAAGAATCCAAATTCTCTTTCAGAAAAGTGGAGGCAGAACACATTGCAGAGCTGGTAAGGTTCTTCTGGATTCCAGTAAAATTCTCACTGAAACAAACATCTTTATTTTGCATAATCTGGAGCTGGAAGGGGCTGAACATGAAATGGAACAGACAAGTGAAGGATAACAGACAGTGGATGAGGTGTTTCCTACAGAAAGAGAAGGGAATCAGAGCCAAGCAGAAGCTGCTGATGAGCAGAGGTGTCCCCCACAGCAGTGCTCTGCTCCCACCCCACACAGCCTCACTGTGGGAGCACCCGAGCAAACCCTTTGGGAAATGCTCTTTTCACACATTTTCAGATGAACTGGGAAGTTCCACTCTAGCACAGGGCTTGGAAAGCCACAGAAGGGCCCTGGCAGAGGTGGGAGGGATTGCCTGGGATACGCTGCTGTTACAAACAAGGCAAAAGACATTGGGGATGAAACTGTTTTAAAAACTCCACTTTCCCTCTGGAAGGCTTCCCAGTGAGAAGACAAGAGCAGTGTAAGACCTTGGCTTCCAATAGACTGAGTTCAGTCCCAGAGAATGAAGAGAGGGGAGGAAGATGTCAGAAAAGGGGGCTTCTGGTAACAAATGTCATCATGTTTTTAGCAGGGGGAATTACAGGATCACAGAATGGTTTGGATTGCAAGGGATCTGAAAGATTACCTCATTTCAAATCCCTGCCAAAGACAGAGACACCTTCCACCATCCCAGGCTGCTCCCAGCCCTGTCCAGCCTGACCTTGGACACTGCCAGGGATGCAGGGGCAGCCACAGTTTCTGTTCCCAGGTCGAATGCCCGTGGATGGCAGAGGGGAGGAGGTTGTGGAGCTGTTTCCAGAGTGTGCCATGACCCAGGACCTTTGCTGTGCATCCACTCACAGCTTCACTGAAGCAATGCTTGGAAAAACCTTCTGGAGGGGTTCAAGCTCCTGCTCAGGCTGGGTCAGCCCTGAGTCTGTCCACCAAAACACTCCAAGGTGAGCTCTCAGCCCCTCTGGGGGCCCTGCCCTGTCCTTACACTAAAGGAGATGATGATTTAAAACTGTGTTCAAGCAGAACCTCCCAAGCTGCAGTTTGTCACCGTGGATCCTTATTGCACACTGCCAGGATGGAGAACATGGCTCTGTCCTCTCCTGGCTGGACAAATCCCCACCTTCCCTCACAGGCTGTGTGCTCGAGGGCCAGAAGCAGAGCTCTGGGCAGGGAACTTGCAGATGCTGATGCTGACCTGGAACAGAGGCTAGACAGTGTTAAAGGAATAAAATAGGGATTTATTAAAAGGCCTTCAATTGATACACATGAAAGCTAAAATTTAAGGCATCAAATGAAAAAACACTTTCTCTGAGAAGATGGTGGATCCTCTCCCTGGCATGGTATGAAGATCCCTGTTTTCCTGGAAAGTATCATTTTGAGATATAAACTCAAGCCCCTGCTGTTCCCAGACACCAGAGGTGATCACAGTGTGGGCTGCAAAGACAAGAGCTGGACTCCTCCAGCCTTTTGGATAGTTTTCTATTTTGACCAATATTTTTTTGTCTCTCTCAATTTCCATGACAACTCTAAGTGACAAAAGTACTTTTCATTATGTGGACAAAAATAGATACCCTGCACAGGTTGGTGTGCAGTTCCCATCTGCTGCCCCAATGTAGCACTCCTGCCTGGGAACAGGGATCTGTTAGTGCTGGACTAAGTTTCTTGGAAAAATTCACAACTGGAGTATTGAAAAACAATTAATATTCACAGAAAGATTATTGATTGAGAGAGCTTTCACTCCACTGGCTTTTAAATAGAAGCATCTCCCATTAATACCATCACTCCTAATAAATGCTATTAACACTGTTGACTAATGAAAATTTTAGTGTTAATTTATATAATACAGAGTTTTTATTTGCAATTAGAGCTTTTGCGATTCTGCAATATGTTGTTCAGGGAGAGAGGGAGACCATCATTCCTGATTACACATCTGTCATTTAGTCAGAAAAAAACAATTTTTCAGTCTCCCTTGCTAACATCAGCCAAGAGACTTCTCGAAGCAGCAGCAGCCAAAGTTCTGAAGTGATATTTTAAGTAAATCACGTCAAAAGCCAACAGTGAGAAGATGTTTTATATAAGCATTTGCACTGAGAATTCCCCGAATTCAACATTTGCCATTGTATTACACTCAGCCATGAGAGGTGCACTGAATACATTTATTGCTGCAAGGACCTGGGCTCAGCAGGCCAGAACCTGTGGCATCATTCCTGGGAATTTCAGTTTCTCACATTCGGTGCTCTGGTTTCTGGTTTTTCACAGAAATCAGGATATGGAGCTGAATTTGGAGCAAGTCCTTCTGTCGCTGACATTTCTCCTTGTAAGTGTAAATCCACACATGGAAACAACAGCAGGTGAATCACTCCTTTGCCCACAGTCTCCATGGAATCCTCTGGATCCCTGGGAATTTGGCACGGGGATGGCCATGAGAGCTGAGCCCGTCCATGCTGTGGCTGCAAACACTCTGCTCTTCCCTGTGCCTTGGCTGGAGATGTTGATGGAACACTGGGCAAGGATGGGGCTGTTGTAGAATTTGCAGTGGTATTGATGTCTTAAATTTCAGCTTTCCTATTTCCAGACTCTGCACTGCATTGGTGTGTGACTCTGAACTCCATCCAAAGTGTCAGCAAGTTCTCCTCCCAGCTCAGGCACACAAAACAATCCTTTGCCAGCCCCACAACCAAGGACAGCGCTGCAGCTTCAGCCCCAAAAAGTGCAAAGAGCAGCGACTGGAGGAGAGAATGTGGGAGGATGGCACTGCAGAAGCTGGAGCTGCAATTGGACAATGAAGGCCAAGATGGAAATGGAGCCAAAGTGATCCAAGTGTGAGAACTCGTGACTCGGATCCATCTTGGCTCCATCTTGGCTGGAGCCACGGCCGGGCTCTTGCAGTGCCCAAGGTGAATCCTTGGAAGGGCTTGGAATAAATCCCTGCTTTATTCCTTCAGCACTGCCCAGCCTCTGCTCCAGGGAGCCTCTCCAGACATCACATCCACTGAGTCACAGATAAATTGGTTTATCACTTCAGGTTTCTCTGAGCTCCTGGTCTCAGCCAGCAGCAGCATCACTGAGGAGCCTCAGCAGCTCCATGGGGTTCCCACATTCCCAGCTGCAGAGCTCTGCCATTCCCTCACAGCTGCAGCAAAGCCAGCATGGAGCAGGCACTGGCTGTAGGACAGGAATCCTGGATGCCATCACAGAGCCTGGGAGTGTTCTCCACACACAGCCAAGGATCTGAGGGAAGGGGGATCTTTGTGGGGACAGGGAGGAGAGGACACTCCCAGAATCCAGAGGAATCTTTGGGCTCCTGGGCTGCTGTCACTGCTGCTGCACACGCCTTATCTCCTGCTGCCAGACACAGCACAACAAGTTCTGGACATTTATTAGAGGGAACACTTGCTCTGATCACTAAAGGCAACTGTTCTAAGGAAACCATCTGCTCAAACTGGCCTCAAGTTTAGGTGTTGCTTCATAAGATGTTATAAAACCTTAAAAAAAACCCAAACATGTATATTAGAACCATGTTTTCTTCCCTTCAGTTCCAAAAGGAATTATCCTTTAAAAAAAAGAGATCGTTTTGCATTTTAAAATATTTCCATAATTTAAAACACCCCTCCTCAGAGTCACCTGGCTAGAGAACAGCTCTAGGGCAAGGCAGTACAAAATCACCTCATTGCTGTGCCCTGGACTGACACTAACAGGGTGAAAATAAAACAGAGGCAGTAAAGGCAGGGCTGCCAGAACACTCAAACACCCAGTTACCCACCTCCCCAGCAGCCATGAGAAAGAAGGAAGTCAAAATAAAGGAATTTGAGGGTGTTTGTAAAAGCTGTCATTATCTCTTGAGACTTCAGGTTGTATCTCGTTTTTACTTTCAGTTTTTCCTTATATATCTTGCTTTTCTTTAAAAAAATAAACTTGTGCCTCTGCTTTAAAAAATTACATTCTGTAGAGAATACACTGA